GTTTGCCATTTATTATTCACTTTCACTTGAAGATGAATAATTCCTTTTCCAAAAGCTTCTACAGTATCACCATTTGCAACATATAATTTACTCGGTTGAAAAAATTTTCAAAACTTTGAAATATGTCTCTTTGGAAAGTTAGATGACACGTTGCACCATTGTCAAAAAACCATTCATCAGTGTACGCTGACTCATCAATTGCAAAAACACTTGATTCCATAACAACTAGTGACTTATTGTCATTGCGTAGATTGTTATTTCTTGGTTTTGCTGGTCTACCATCAGAATGCCATTTTTCACAATTTCTTACAATGTGACCTGGCAATTTGCAATAATGACATATCAGTCGCTTTGGTTTGCTGACAAATTTATCTTGTTTTTGACCATTCATGTTTAGTGATGATGACCTTTTAGTTGTTGCTTTGACAAATACTTTATTACATTCTGTTTTGCCTTCCAAAGATCTCTCATAGCTACACAGTTGATCTGTGAGTGTTTCGACTGTTCTTTCAGTCTTGTTCAACAATCTCCAACTTGCAGCAAATGAAAAATATTTTTCTGGCAAAGTTTCAATTATTTGACACATCAGCAACAAGTCACTGTTTTCATCTTTTCCTAACTCAACCTTTAAATCTTTCCAAAGATTCTTGAGTTTTGTGACGAGTGACAACATCATCGCTTTCATCCATTTTATAACTGAAGAACTTCATGCACAAGTTGTATGCTTTATCTTCATTAACTTCATCATACAATCTGTGAAGTTCTAACCAAACATCTCTGGCATTACTGAATGAACGAACTTTTTCATACGTTTCATCGGTCATGTTGGTTGACAGAACAATCATAGCACTACAATCTGCTCTGTTGAATCTGTTCAAAGCAGTTTGATATTTTACTATCTCATCTTTATTTGAGTCATCGTTCGATTCATCTGGAACTTTTAATTTGCCATTTACTACATCCATTGCATCAGGGATGCGGCGTAGTATTATACAAACTCTCGACTTCCAGTTCAACCAATTACTTTTGCCTTCTAGGTGTTTGATTTGCACTTTTGTCAGATCCATTTCTTCCTTGTCTTTTAATTTGACCTTTTAATTAGAAGCAAAATATCGAATTTCAGAGAACGAAGAAGCACGTGCTTTCTCTTCACTTCAGTCTTCACAAAAGAATCTTCCGATATTTCTTTATTCTAAATTTTCTTCGTCAAATCAATTAATTAAGAAAAACGTTATCTGGGTCCCATAACCTGTTAAATTTCTTGTCACGTAGATCGTTTAATTAATTGATATAATATTGAAAGACATGAAAAGAAGAGAAATAAACTAACCAACGTTCTAGACTTGTTTATTATCCACCGGATCAAAAGAAAAGGAAAAAGTGAAGTTACATACAAAGCAAAGAACATTTGGTCCAAAGAAAAATAAATGTATATTATAAATCATAATGTTTTAATATAAAACATAAAACTTAACATAAAAGTGTTATATTTAACAAAGTCGAAGATTGTAAAACTAAGTATTTACTTTAAACAAACAAAGAATCAACAAAGTAGAGTAGAGGCACAGTATAAATATATTTGATCATCTGGGCACAACCATTGTAGGAATACCGAAAAAAGCTTTTCTGTTCTATCATACATAAAATAAACACAAATTCAGGTTTTGAACTAAAGAAACTAAAAATGATTTACGATCAACCGTTAGAAAAATCGAAAAGTTAAATTGGAAATTAACTCACGCAGAACATGCAGTGATTTTCGTAAATGCATTTCTGAGTCTTAATCCAATATATATATATTATATATATTATACATTTATACAAAAGAATACACCGAATAGTGATTTTGGCCGTTCTTAAATTTATTGAATTTTATTTGTTTTTATTGTTTTGAAATGAATCTATTATTTATTTCAGTGTTGGATCGATCCTTTGAAATCCATCTATTCACAGCTTAAAGGTTCAATTTTATTCTGTTTTTTTTCTCAAAATTGTCGTTGTTATGTAGTTTAATAATAACAGACACAATGAATCAAAATTTAATGATTCAATGCTCAGTGCAATTAAACCTGCATGTATTTTAGATTTAATATCAAGCATTGGTGCATGTTGTCGTTATCATATTTTAATTTTTAACGCTTCATTCACAACACAATAGTTTGTTTTCGCCAATTAAAAATAGGTTTAAGTTGATATGTAGATTGCTGAGCCTTTCATATCAAGATTTTTAGGCAGTAGGTAGTAATGTTACAACGTTATCCAAATATTAAAAAAACAGAGATGGTTTTCATTTACAATAATTTTAGGTGACATCACTCTAGAATAATTTTTATCATAATTTTTTATACCGACGAACTCAGGAATTTCCAACCCGTTGCTCTTCTTCCACGTAAAATTTTATCCCGAGGATCCGTCTGTGATCAAGGAAGAAATCACCAGGTTGGTTGGAATGTTTGAGGCAGCTATCATAAGATCAGTGGTGTGGTTGGGACTGCTAGAATTGGCAGTTTAACTGTTTATGTGGTTAGATTGTGTTGAGGTTGGGTCAGATTGAATCATGGAAAGATTCATATTATTATTTAACCAGGAACCAGGGTCTGGAAGTCGGTGTCGATCGGAGAATTCGAACAATTTGTAACCGACTCCGACCCGACACCCTGGATTGAACGGACTTATGATGATATTTATTATTTAAGAGTCTGTATGGAAAAAGCCAACACAAAGTTAATTAACATTAAAGACGTATTAGGTGTTAAGTAAAATAACTTGACTCATTTTATCAAAGTTGGTACAGACCGTCAAAATTTGATAAAACTGAAAAACATTTCTATTTACTGATAAATTTGAATAAACCTGATCAATGGTTTGAAAACGTGTTACAGAACTACTATTTATATATATTTTTTTATATTTATGCATATATTTGCAACAACAACCACTTGAAGGTATCAGTTGTTTCTACAAGTGAGGAAGGATCTGGAAGAGAATCGGCTCATTTGCTCGTTGCAGGATGCGCTCCTGTTCTCAGCTTACATTGTCCAAGGTAGGGACAAGTTTAATTTCATTTTTATTCAATTATTTTTTCAAAAACTGTTTATTTAAATAATTATACCGAGAATTGAAACAAAAAAAAAAATAAATGTTCGAACGCATTCTTATGATTATTTACCAAATTTTTGTTTGTTTGTTTGTTAACACATACCATTTTACAATCTCTGCTTTCAATCGTAATTAATATCGTTACAAAACTTGAAATGACATGTTTCCAGATGAGTTTGGGGACTGCATCGACGTCCTACCTCCTCCCACGCCGCAGAGCCTGCCATATTCCGCATCCCCGCCATCGCTCACCCATCAACCATCATCACCTGCCTGGAAGTACATTCTCTACGTTAAACTGCCATCATCGCTGAAAGGTTATGAGGAGAATATCTACCAACTCCATCGTAAGCTGAAGTAAGTTTTTGAAGCACAATGTTTTTTATTGACTGTTATTTAGTAAAGTGCAACTTAGTCGTCTCCATCATCAACCATCGCTAACATTCGGAGTTTAGTTAAGGATCTTTTATTTTGTTAGTCGTTCGTCAGCTGAAATCATCAAATCAACTTAAGATTAGCGGTCGATCTTAAAATTGTAACATTTCGTTTATGAACTGATAGCATTCTGTTTGGTAGCAAATATTTTTTTAAATTTAAAAGTTGATTAAGTTACTCATTTTATTAGCATCAAGTTGTAACAAATCTTCGCCACTTTTTATCACTGCAGTTTTACGTTAACTAATGTCTTCATGTTTAGTCATCGTAAATTCAGTTTTATTTTATTTATTATTATTATTGCTTTTATGATGGTTTTGTTACTATTAAATACCGCACCAGGGGCATGAAGCCAGCAGAAGCCGAATTTAATTTCTTGAAGAAAGCTTCAACTCTCCCGTCCTTCGGCATCGACCCGTACATCGTGCAGGTTCGTTCAATCGCAACTTTCATTTATTTAAAAAAAATATTCTTAAGAATTTTTGAAGATTAGCAAAAAGTATTCGTCAAACATACGAGTTCAAATTACAAACGTATCTTTGCATTAGTATAAAAGGTGAAATTAATTTTTAAATGTGTTATATAACAGTATATAGATAGTAAAAATTCGGACCCGACTTTGCAATAATAAATTGATAGTCACCAATCATTTGAATTTGTAACATGCAAAGGACATAAAAGGTGACCAGTTGTATCTGACCGTCACTCCGCAAGGCATTGTATCATTTGTCGACAACCAAGCTACCAACACATATTATTGGTAAATTTTAGTAAGAACAATTTTAAAATTTTAAACACATTTAATTGAAATGTACCGGTAAAACCATTTTATTCCTTTCACTCATTTCAAAAACCGCACCTTGCATACTATGTACAAATAATATTCATACGAATCCACCAACCAACCAACCAGGAGGTCGATTAAGAAAATGTCGTTTGATGGCAAAATGTTTTACATAAAACTCAAGAGAGATGAAGATGATGACGGCAAGCCGGTACGTGCTTGTTGAACGTTTCTGAACTTTTGCTTTCTATGTTACTGTCGACGTGAGATGTTTTTTGCACATTTGTTTATTTTGTTGTTCATCGTGCAGTAGCTTAACCAGTCATTTTAAACGGGAGGATTCGTTTTTTTAAATTTTGGCAATTTTTTTTCTTATTTTGCATTTATTTAAAAATTTTCTATTAAAACCACTTTTTTTAAATAATGAAAAAAAAACCAAACGTTGCTGTGGTTGGAGGAAAGGCTAAAAGAGTTTTCAGTCAAAATTTATATAGTTCTTTATTTCTGTAGAACTTATTGCACTCCCTTAGTTAGTGTAAGTGTAAGTAAAATAAGAATGAAAGTTGTGGCTGAGTAAAAAGGAAAGTGTTAACAAACAACTGTTGTGGAAACGTCGACAAGCTTTTTAAAATATGTAATAGCATACAAATTTTAAAAGGCTCACCGTATCTTTAGTTTTTATTGATTTTTAAGCTCGTGACGTGAGAAACGATACATTGGACTGCAAATTGCAAAGTGTGCAATTGTGCATTTGATAAGATATATTGCCTATCTGCTGAAATTTTAATATATATATATATATTTATACATATATACACATACATACATATATATAATTATATATATATTTGTTTACTTGCAAATGGGACAGCACGAGACAGGTCCAAGTATTTTTTCGAAGGTGGTTCCATTCAACAAGGTATGTTATCCTGATTGCTAACTGATGATGGCTGTAAAAATGTAATGTTGATTGATGTAATGTTGATTAATGTAATGTTGATTGATGTAATGTTGATTGATGTAATGTTGATTGATGTAATGTTGATTGATGTAATGTTGATTGATGTAATGTTGATTGATGTAATGTTGATTGCTAGATGATGTAATAAAGATAAGTCTTTTTTGGACATCACGAAAAGGAGTAAAAAACATTGCATAAGCGTTGCGAAAAAATGTCAAAACGAGACCATTTTGGAGTTAAACTGTCATTTGTAATGTTTTATTTAAGCATCTTGAATGAGAACAAAAAGCAGAACGTTTTATTCAGTTTTGTGTAGAATTTGAAGCCAAATGAACGGGAGCTGAGAGTCAGAGGTTTTCCAGGAGTCGCAATCAGATTTAAAATTTAAAAGATTTAACATTTAAAAGAGTCACTGTTTAAAAGTTAAACTTTTTTGTTTTTATTTTAAGCCTATCATTTTATTTTAAGCCTATTTTAGACACGTATTAAAAAAAACTCTGTGCAGTGGTACGCAATCTTTAACGGCGTTGATTGAATGTTATCAAAAGCGCCACACTTATTTATTTTAACCTTAACCCACTTCGATTTTGTACTTTAATTAAAAATCTTTATTTGTATATAAAATTGTATTTTTTAATGTGATTTCTTTGTATAAATAGCGAGTATTAAATAAAAAAATTATAATTTTATAATACTCGCTCTAAATCTAAATAATTAAAAAGCATTTTTCGTTATGTATTGAAAACTGAATGACCCGGCCACTTTTTAACGTCTCCTAAATAATAAATATTGTGTTATTAGTTGAGCTTTATTCTATTGAATAATGAAGGAAGTTGAATAATAAAACATTTTATTTGCAGCTGTGTTCTACTGTGCACTACTACAGATCTTAATACCAGACTAATAATTATCTACTATCACAAACATTCAGTTGACACAGCGTAGCAGACATCATAGACTCACCTGAATCGACGAACTAAAAAATCCCAATCTCATAATGGGCATCGTTACCATTATCTTTGCTATTTTTATCATCGACATCGGAAATTAAATCATTATCGGTATTAAATTATTTTCTCATGATTTTGCAATGTCCAAATAAATGCTCAACAGTTTTTCAATATCTCAATATATTTCCGCTAATTTAACGATATGTCTAAACCCATTGCTGTATTCTTCCTGTTTCCTAAATAGCTTAATGCTTCCTGCAGAATTATACCTGGTTTATTGTTAGTCATGATTTGATGACAGATGGTTCAGGGAATTTGTGGTGATAGATTTATGAAAAATGCATATAAAATTAATTTACTCTGCCTTCCACTCGTTTTTTTATTTTCAGCATACCAGCTCTTTATGGGTTTTATGCTCTGCAGCTAGTAACTTCTTTTTTATTACCAAACAATTGACAGCACTTTACAGGAAATAATTTTCAAGTCATTAGTTGTAAACTGATAAATTAAGCATAAATTTCTTGTAAGTTATCAACATTGTAAATATACTTTAAAACCTCAAAGATATTAACAAAGGACTTAAACAAATAAGTGATACCATCATGTTCAAAGCCTATCAATTTCTCAGTGTCGGTGCTTTGTTCAGTTTTATTTTTTATTTTGTCCTAATTTTTCATTCTTAAAACATGACTGACCAAATCATCACAACCCAACACTAAGATTTATCCTTTAGTTTTTCTAAAAAATTCTGCTAAGTTCATCCATTAAGATCACTTTTCAAATTATTTAATCTTTAATGCATCTTCATTTTAGTTTTTTAACCTTCCAGAAGTTTTTAAATATGCTTTTTCAAATAAGAACATTGAAAAAAAAAGTCATCAAATCAGTAAAATGATATTTTATGTGTATGTGCATATTTTATGTTTATGTTGGCAATAGACCATAATTTTTACAATATTTTATAAATTCTACCGAATGTTTGGCGTTAATATGTTTGTAGTTCGTTTTTTCAATTTTTCTCACTAAAGTTTTTTAGTGAACGTTTAGTTTATTAAAATTCAAAATAAACTTATTTTCCGAATTCATGCTGCAAATAAGGCCATATTTCGATTCCGAATGAATCATCATCAGTGCTTTTTGATGTTTATATATGGAAATATTGAATTTGTCAAAATGAACTTAGATGGAAATTAGGTGTCAGGTTTCTTTATTGGCTGGTCATCTTCTTTGGTCTCATTTTCTTCATCGATAGCATCATATTCTTCTTTGTCACTATTTACAATGCTAGTTTTTATTACTTCTTTGTTTTCGTTGTTGGTTAAGCGCCGGGTTGGAAGTGAGGTTGTCATTTTTTGTTGTATATTTATTTTTGGGTTTATTGATATCAATTAGGACTGCTTCTGCAATTTTAAGATGCGTGTATTTGGTGTTCTGGCATATTACTTTGATGTTGCTGTCGAGGATTTCACGGCTAATAGTGATTGAGTGTGTTGAGTCCAAATGAGATTTGATAGCACCACTCTGTTTATGCATCGTAAGCCTTCTAGTCAGTGAGGTAGTAGTAATCCCGATATATGAGTCATGTTGACGTGCACAGCCGTCAAAGGGGTAATTAAATTCATATATTACGTGATTACGCCTTAACACAGAGTTATCTCTAGGACTACAGTTGTTTTTCAGTATTAGGTGAGACGTCTTTTTATTGTTGTAATAAATTCGGAGTTTAACTTTAATATTTGGGTTGGTTGGTGTGACATTTTTATTGATGATATGTTTAAGAATAGCTTCATCTATTTTGTATGCAGTTGACATGTGATTTTTGTAATACAAGATGATGATAACGACATGTTAAAAGTGAAGGCAGTTGCCTCCTCCCCTTTCTTTAGAAGCCCCTGTTGCCCTGGTCCTCCATAATACCAATCCCTCTCAGAAAATGCCTGTCCAAACAAACGACGCCATAGCAAAGCAGACTCTCAACTTATAGTTAATCAAAAAGAAATTTCTATTTTAGCTTCTTTATTTTTAAAGCTCTGCTTCTTCATGTATCTACTCTACCCATGTTTTGCTTACATACAACAAGCAGTTCCTAATGACGCCATTTAAAATTTTTATGTTTATTTGTTTTCGCTTGGCACGTGACTGTTGCCAATTCGTTACCCAACTTTAGCATTAGTTGCCCTCCAAAGCTCAAACATTGTCTTGAACGTTTTTAGTTAAAAAATATTCTACTCTATTTTACCTTAAAATTATCTTTATTATCTTATCTAACTTTCCTTTATTTTCATTGGTTTCAAAAGTTTGAATAAATACATCAACTTGCTTGTTTTAAAAACGTATTGACTTGCTGTAATGATTATTATTGTTATTGATCAAATATTTCATTTCTAAGATCAGTAGAGTATGTAAAAGCAAACTTGATTGTAGAAATCTTTTCAAAATTTTGAACAGTCTAACATACACCGTCCAGCTGTTGGGTACAAATGTTTGTCGGCGCCTTCGTGTAAACAGTTGTGGAAGAATTCTGTGGCACACAAGTTTTTTTACACGTTCGTTTTAAAATAAGTATTGTACATTTCATTTTAGTTATCTGAAAAACATAAAATTTAATGCTTATGTTTGCAAATATCTTGTTCTTCTATTTTCTTTTATTGCATCTTTTCAGAGGTTTCATGGGCAAACAGTGTACGAAAATGCTGGTAACTTAATTCATCATACACGTTTTGCGGATGAGGGTAGGCTGGGATTTCTTTGCAAGCGAATCCGGTCTCTGCAAGGCAGGATTAGGCGCTTTAAACCATTAAACCACATTGCAAAATGTTAATAAATGTAAAATATAGTTTTAGTTACCAACGTATTATGATGTACTTATTGTTATTTTTTTATTAGTTTAAATTTTTTTATTTCACTTAACAACAAGTAGTTTTTTTTTGCATCTTCAAATGGATTAATAAATAAATAAAATATTTTTAAAAAATTTTGCGTTGAGTTAGCTGAAAAAATAGAAGTGTTATATATGACGTTGTTTATTGTTGTCCTGTTCAATGGCAAGTGGCGAGGTGACCTCCTCTGACTGCAGATATGATCTTAAAAATGAAGCACTTGAATGTTTTATCACTCTTCCTTTGGCATGTTCTCTCCGCCTGTTTGTTATTGCAAGCATTAACGTCAATTTGAAATGAAGGAATATTATATATTTTATGGTGGTTTAACTGTTAATGAATTCCAAAATATTTTGAAGTGATTTAAATTTAGGATTATGCATATCTGTGGTGGCGTTGCAGTTTTGGAAAAGTCGCGAATCGTAGCAGGACATCTAAGAGCTAATACCCTTAAACAGTTTAAACGACGATGATGATGGTTTAAAAATAAAATGTTAATAGTTGTTTGTTTAAATTTAAAAATGGCAGGTTGAAATCTTCAGAGGAGGCTCCAAAAGTTGTTTCAAGTGGTGGGCTGTTTGGTCGGGGTTCTAAATTTAGATACAGGTCTGTTTGGCCTAGTTGTCTGTTATAATCATCCAATGTGTTTTCACTATTACAGTTATTAAAGTTTTCACGCTTCCTTAAAAAATGATTAAATATATTCTTAAGTGGAAGTATTTTATAAAATGATGGTTGAAAACAATTTTTTTTATGGAATACGTTGTTCAAATCTGTTAACGCTTACAGCAAAATCCTATTCGATCCATCAAATGAATCAGATCAATATATTGAAATTTTATAAGCCATTTCTATATAAAAGAACAAATATTTAATTTATCTGGCCAAATAATGCTGATAAACTGGATTGTTTACGATTGATTAAATGTATTTCATGGACAGCTGTGTTTTAACGTTTAAATAATTTGAATTATACAATTTTATATCAGCCCCGATGTTGCTATTTGTTGGTATTTTATCATTAGTGTATAATTTTTCAATTTATTTGAAATTTTGAATAAATGTTTGAGTTTGCCTCGATCAAAGGCTTGGTTAGATTATCTTATATTATTTTATAGTATTAGAAGGTAATATGCTATGTGCTATACTCTTTAAAATGATATCAGTCGTGCAGCCAGCAACAAGCAGATGGTCATTATTAGCTGTTTCTGTATGACGTGCTGGTCACGTTTCATATTTTAAATTAAACTAAGCTGCCGCGCATTATCAATTTTTCAAAAAACTTGTTCAAAAGTTTAAAATGATGTTCCATTTCAACTAAATCGTGGAGCCAAAATTTTTAATGGTAACAAAAATTGTTGTGCATTCTTCAACTAAAAATCTGTGACATGCTGAATTATGCAAATAAAATTTATTTCTAATAAATTGAGTTATAACCGTTGAATTTACCAAAAAAATTAATTGAATCCCTGGTCTTGTTTTTGCCATGCTCAATGATCCTTCAGCACGATGTGACGACTTCGCTGTTTATATAATATTTACTGTCATGTATGATTGAAGATGGTTGAAATCAGAGTGTCGGATTCGGATATTTTTCATTCGACTCCGTCACATTGGTTGAAATGGATGGAAGTCCGTGAGTGAAAAATAAATTTCCAGTATTTGGGCACGTTAGGATGAATGTTTCTGAAGGTAAATATAATTCTCAAACTTTTTAAAAATGACAAGCTAAATTTTGTTCGTTCTCCACACAAAATCACCCTAAAATACTTTGTTCAATAAATCTGTAAGAATACCAAATTAATCAGTTTCTAAGTTTTCTTTTGTAACTACTCTGTGCTCCGTCCGTCCACCACCCAGCTCAATCATTTGATGATTGAGCTGGTGTTTCGAGACCAAACGAGGTGTTTCGGGACAAAACGTTTGGCACAGAAAGTATGTTTCCAATTTAAAAAATTTTTGTTTTTTTCTGAAAGAATATGCATGTTTTATTTTTTCCGACAAAAAAGTATTTTTAAATAAATTTTAAAAATATATTTACCTTGCGAGCATTAAAACGTTTAAAGGCTGGACGAGTGAAGCGACTTTTTCTTTTCAGTCTTTTCAATTTTACTTGTCATTTTGGTTAACGCCGGTGGAGTGATAAACAAATTATTTTATTTACTTTTAACTTAAAAAAACAAACTATTTTTGATCTTTATTATTTTTATCTTTTATGTTTAATGAAATAACGTGAAACATGATTTATTTTATTCACGCACGGAGCAGTTAACACCAATTCCTAATAAACAACTCATTTTACTTGATTATTTTTAATTTTAGTGGTCACTGCTTGTCTGAAGTGTACAAATCATCTGCAAGCATCGACAGACCTCAACCTAAATTCACCCGGTTGGATTAATTTTTATTCAAATTTTATTACATTTAAAAATTTTTTTTATAAAAATAGCCTGACGCTCAATTTTTGAGAGAATAATTTTTTTCAAACTTACAAAGAGCATTCTAACGTAAATTTTTTTTAATAAGTATGAAAAATATAATTTTGTCTACATTTGTTATCACGTCTGAGTTAATATTTTAGGTTAAAAAATAAAGCAGTCAAAAACGTTCACCAAAAAATAACAATTATGTAGGTACTCCTCGAGATCGAGGCCAGGCAGTGCAAGCGCTGCACGATCGACTACGCTTCCATTCAGCTGGAAGTCCATCAACAGCAGCAGCAAGAACGGCGACAAATATGAACGTGAAGGTGATTCATCGGCGGCATCTCTTTCGACTGGCACAACAGTCGCCTCATCAGTCGTCACCAGTGTCCAACAACAACCGAAAAAATGTACGAGTGATTCTGCGTTGGTGACCGCTGACGGCAAGTGGAACAACCAGCAACCATCGCTGAAACCTCTGCAGAACTACAAACATCAACAGAACGACGACGACCACGTTCCACTCTTGATAGCTGGTGACGTTGAATGCGATTTCAACGCTCCTTATAGAAGTACTGATGGTCATGAGGTCATCAACACGTGTGAGATTATTAACATAAGTGATGACGATGATGATGAAAGTGATAGTGACGATGACGAAATTTTGAACACCTTCAATTCAAACGGAAAAATGAATAAAAATGAAATTTTAGAAATCAATAAAAAAATTGAAACGTTGTTTTTGAACGGCGAAAAACTTGATAACAAAATGATTTTGAATCCAAACTTTGTCGAATATGATGAAACTGTAATGAACTTACGCACAAATTCTCAATATAATAAAACTAGCGAATTCCTTGAGAACAACACATCAACAGCAGCTGCAAACCCATGCTCATCAATCGCGCCACCTCCCAAGCAGTCTCATTCGATATCAGTTCATCCAGGTTACGTCATCGACAGCTTGCCTTCCTCTCTACCTGCAACTGCACCTCAGAACGCTCCAACACCTTGCACGACTTCGTCGACAGCCTCTGCGTCGTTTACTCTGTCAGATCCTCCAATAATAACCCTGACCACAACGTTCGTAAACATTGCAACACCATCACAGAAAATTGATTCTTTCGCAAAAAATCATCAACCATTTGTCTCATTATCGTCATCATCATTTTTATCTTCACAACCAACAACATACTTTTCAGCAGCAACTACCGTCACTTCATTTCGCGAAACTCCGTTAAACCACGGCAGAATTGAAGAAAGCTGGGTCACCGAATCAAGAGGAACTAGGTCGTTGGATGGATGGATAGTCGAAGAAGGTGAAAAAAGAATGAAGTACACAGATAACAGTTATGACACCGGCTATACCAGCAGCGGATCAGAAACAGTTAATGATAATGAAGGTGATGGTGAGGACGCATGCGTTAAACAATTGGAAGGTTCAAGCGAGAAGCTGGAAAAACCAGAATCTAAATCTGGAATAAGGAGAAGTTTGCTGAACCTGTTGTCGTTTGTGTCGTCGCTGAACAAAGCAGTTGAAGGTAAGCATGGTGACGAGAGAGATGCACGTGATGGGGCAGAGCAAGCTGGTCAGAGTGGTGCTGAGAACCAGAGTAAAATAATTGTCAGTGATGATGGCGATATAACACCGATCAACCCTATCGACATTGTTGATTCATTTTCCAAAGCCAACATCGTGATTCCAGCAACAGCATCGCAGATACATCCTTCAATAGCGTCCATAGAATCGTCCTCATCAACGCTCTCTGTGACTCAAAATTTACTAAAACCTCTATCTACTTCAAAAACACAACATGTCGTAACATTAACAACATCACTATCATCACCAGCATCTTACAACCAACACGTTTCTTCGCTTTCACCTCCATCACCAATATCGTCATTATCATGGAAAGGGTTGGCAGCACCAACAACTCCTGACGATAACATTCAACACTCGCACTTACCATCCACTGAAGAAACCCAACATGCACACCCGTACCAAACATCATTGTACTCTTCATCATCGTACTCTTCACCATCGTACTCTTCACCATCGTACTCTTCATCATCGTACTCTTCATCATCGTACTTTTCATCATCGTACTCTTCATCATCGTACTCTTCATCATCGTACTTTTCACCATCGTACTCTTCATCGCCATCTTTCGATAATCCTTCCGCTGAAAATTATGAACGAATCAAAGAGATCCGTAAACTATTGCAGGAAAATAAAGACAGAATTCAAGAAATTAGAAATACCATAGACAATGAAATTAAAAAACCATTAAGTTGCTATTCAGTATCTTCAGACAGCATAGATATTACAAAACAAATATGGAGTGAATATGTTGTAACTTCGTCGAACTCAACGACGAACAAGTTGAGCAGTCCCACCCTCAACAATCATTACCACAACCAGCTGAGTAGAGATGGCAAAGAAGCGGAGGCGGTTGAACACCACAGTAGTGTTGGTGGGGGAGGTAAGGTTGATCCTACCGTAACATCTGCCTACCCGATACCCATATCCTTCATCAACAATCAGTTTGAATGGTGCGGGGAAGGAGGAGAGAACAGCGGAGGGGTCGGGGTGATCATCAACAACTGCATCTATCCCGACGTGCATCACTTGGCGAACGTCGGAGTGTGCAGCGAGTACGTTCCTGATGACGTTGATGCCGCAACTGACCTTCACGAGCAGAACTACCCAGACGAAAGTGACAACAAACTTACTTGTGGTGGTTTTGTTGGTGCCATCCCAAATGTTGCCAGTGATGTGCCTGTTGATGGTGCGACTGTTAACGCTGGTCCGAAAGTCAACGATAATGCATCAAATGAAACTGACTTGGTTTTCCCAAAAATAGACCAGTTTTTAACCTCATTACTTCTTCCCGTATCGTCATCATTATCATCACCAGCTGCAGCTTCACCTACAATTTCCTCGATGCATGGACAACCATTACAAAACTCGCACTTCCCATCAAACCGACCATCCCCGGGACAGCAGCTGCAGGAGCCTCCTCCCATTTTGTCAGACTCGCAGTTATTGGAATCTACATTTGCACTACTTCATGAAAATGATTCGTCGCATGCAGAGCAGGAAGGATGCGAATCGACAACTTTCGGTGAACATGCAGATGCACACATTGCGGACACAAGCATTGAACAACATGTTGGAGAAGTGGCAGTTGCAAACAGAGCAAATAACAGTAAAGGAACAATGCACTACCTTGGAAAAGGAGTTTGTTTGACGGTGGCATCCGTTCTGCTCTCATTAATACTCTTCAGCATCTTCGTCATCATCGTATTTGAATGTTTCCAGGAAGAACGCTACATCAACGATTACATCATCATTCGCGAATTTAAAAGCTCTGTTTATGATCTTATCAAACAGTACATGACTGAGATGTTTTATAGACATGTATTCAGGTTTTGGTGAACTGATAGGGAGTTCGTTCAGGCATTATTCATGAACCTCCCTGAATTTATCGATTTCACATTACTGCACTATAAACGCTTGATAGCTATGCTGCCTCCACAGCGCTCTTATTATATATATATATATATATATATATAATATATATATATAATATATATATATATAATATGTATTTATACTTAATTATTTATTATGTATATTATATTTATGCACCCTCTCACCGTCAATTTAAATTAATTTGTACTGGAAGTTAAGAAATAATGAAAATTTGTAGCAAAATAAGCAAACACTTAAAAATAATAGAAAGCAATAACTTCAAAATTTTATTTTCAAACGAATGCTTCAATGCTTACGGAAGTTTCTTTTGAGTGGCACTTTAATTTTTGTAGCACTTGTTTTTTATCAGCATTTAATAAATTTTTATTTTCATTGTTGATGAGGAAACATTTAATATCCGAATGTCGTCATCAACATACAGTCAGATGATCATCTCATGTACCTTAAAAATGCTGCTTGGTCATTATTTTTTACAGCTAGACAATATTTTCCTATCTAATCTTTTTTCGTTTTAAGTCAAACTGAAAAAATCAAGTTCATAAATTTCAGTAATTTATTTGGTATTGATTTTTTAATATTTTTCGACATCGCTTTGAAAAATTTGTAATTTCGCTGATTGTTTATTTGTGCCCTTTTACTCTGATGGGAAGATATTTTCGATTGATCTATTTTATTCATTTATAAAAATGTTTTAATAATTATTTATTAATATCTAAAACGATTAATTATTAAATAACGTTAAAATGTTACCAACACGACCCTCGTACTTGTTTCAATCTCCTTGTCATTTCCTCCTTCCCTTCGAATGAGTTTTGCAAGAAATGCAACGCAAGCTTATTTCTTATTACCCTCGTCATGCATAAAATTCCACCTACTTTTTTATCTTCAATTTGAATCTCTGTTTCTCTATTATTCTTATCATTAATATGAACCTTTTTGAAGTTTTCATTTTCAAAATTGCGGTTTGAAAACAAGGGCTTCACAAAGCAATAAAAGGCAACTTTTGTGTCCCTAAAATTGCCATCTAATTCTGAATAAAAAGAAAATGTGTCATTTAAAACCAACAAATCAAACAAAATTGAACTCATCAAAGGCAAACTAATAATTATTTTTAATTATTCTTATTTTAAAATGTCGCCATTTTGAAGGGGATATCAGGGACGCAACTGGAAATTTTATTAGTGGTAGGGCGAATATTGGCTTATTAAATTTCGTTTAAAAAAGTTAATAATTTTTTATTGGCTTATTAAATTTCGTTTAAAAAAGTTAATAATCTTTTATTTTCTTCTTACTTCAACAATTTCTCTTTTCATAAAAGCTTTTCTTTACAAAAATGTCACAAAGCTTCCTTTCCTTCATTTTCTACTGTATCATTGTTTCACTGTAACATTAATATTTTCAACTTGTATTTGATCATTTGGCCTCCCGTTCTAGTTGGCCACTGAATTTCTATATAAATCGATTGTCGTGCTCTCCGTATTCATGAATTTTCAATCGTAACCAACTTTTTGCTCAGTCTTTTACAAATAAAATGACATTAATTTAGTATCTCGGTTCTTAAATTACGATAGGTTTGACGCAGTTGAGTTGCTAACATGTTCTTTAGATTCATTCAAGTGCCATCCATGCTTGCTCTCAAGTGTGCACTTTTTTTAATCTGAAAAAGAATCCTTTTATTTCCCGTCACATTAAAAAAAATGAAGCGTCAAAACGAGGAAGAATATTTTTGCTCAGCGAAATCTTTTAATAAATTTCTGTGCATTTATTAATTCGCACACAAAACCACACGCACGTACACACATACACACACATATATATTTATATGTGTATAGTATAAACGCATTATTATAGACAATTTCAGATACACACACATACAATAAAAATTTGGTGGCGGTTATTTTATCTTGCGACATTGCGAACAGTTTGTTCATTTTGTTAGTTGGGACTATTTGGTTTCGTCTTATCCTGACGGTGGTTATTCTCGTCTCTTCTAATTATTCAGTCGTTTGCTATCTTGCATTTTGTAATTGACTAAATTACGACAAGACCGAGAGGAATAATTTTTTAAAGTTTGCTGACGTACATAAAAATATGATTTCTTTATTCAATGAAGATTTGTAAATTTCGAAAGTGCCACTATATTAGGACCACAAACACTTACGCAGTTTTCTATTTCGATAGAGATAATTTATATTCGTATAAAAACTGACCCAATATATTTTGCATGATTGATTACATTTGACATTTTTTAATAAATTTGTTCTTAGAAAATATTCGTGCAAAGCTTCAATTTTTGTTACAATCAGTTCACTATGCAGTACGATATAAAAAAATTTGGAAAAAAGTATTTGTTATTTTGATGTATTGGATTATTATGATGTGAGAAAGACTCTGCAGAACTAAAACAAGGTAAAGGTCAAAGATCGATTACACTCTTCCTGGGTTCAGAGGAATCAACAAAGCGCGCAAACATCGTATATGAAATACATGCTAAACAACGCATCATACACGAAGCATGTGATAGCTGACAGACGAGGATCATTTTGTCATATTCATTTGCATGCACGCGAGACAGGACCAGATCACCTCAACCACTAGGCCATCATGTCGAAAATAACATTATAAAGAACTTTTATTACAATTTGAAGAGGTTTTAAAAGTTAATCCTTTTATCTAAGCAGTGGCGTAGCTAGGGTCTTCTGCGCCCGGGGACAAAACAAAAAATTTGCGCCCCCTACATAAAATCTGTCAAACTATATAAAATATAACTGTCGTACTCAGTATTTGAAGTAGGCTACACTCCGTGACGCCTATATACAATGCATTTCAGTGTATTCATGTTTCTATATGCATATTGCACCTTACACCATAATTGTATTATTCTTTCTCAGTTCTTAACTATTATATTGTAATACAAAATATTAATTATTATCATTTAATCATTTATTTGGCAAAAAAAATGATTATGATTAAAAAAATGATTATGATTGATGTATATAATTAGATTCTTTCAAGTAGTTTTTATAATTCTGTATTTTTATTGTCCGCTGAGTCAGAAGTGTGAAATAAAAATTATTAAATTTAAAAACAAAACAACAGCTAAGTATTGTCTAGAAATTGTGGTTAGGAAATGAGCAGAATTTTAAAGAAAATTTATTTTTCTTGCTTTTACTGCAGCAAACTGGTTAATTATATCATCAAAATCAATCTGTTCAAGAACTTCCCTTTCCACACTTATTAGGGCCAGATCGCTGAGTCTATCTTGTCCCATGGATGCTCAAAGATAGGAAAGAATTATTTTTAATTTACTGAAGGATCGCTCACAGCAGGCAATCGAGACAGCTATAGTAAGAAGGATTTGTAGAGCAACAGGCAAATTTGGAAAAACATCTTCTCCGTAACTAATAATGAATGACAAGAGTTCTGTAGGAGTCTTTGGTGCAGTATCCTGGCGGGTCTCAAGGAGCATTCTGCAGTCACATATTTCATTTAATAACTCAATTCTTTCAACATCCGAGTCATAAAAATTTCCAAAGTCAATACAATGCTGACGGAGACTGTTAAGATCTTTGTCATTCAAAAGTTTGTCTACATCAAGTAAGAATCCGAATTTGAAGTTCAGATCTTTGAGACGAGTAAACCTTGTTGTCATCTCCTGTTCGAGTCGATCTAAAATACTCTTCATGATACGAACAATTTCTTCTTCTGCCGAAAGTCCTGCATCTCGGGCAAGTTCTCCAGGCATCCTTCTCCGTCGCCTGATTCTACTTTCTACAGCCACACCCCATAGCTCACATTTTTCCTTTGCTTTTAGCACTGCATCATTGCATATGTCTTCACGAATTCTTGTAATATCCATGTGCAGAGATTCAATATCCAAAGACGCTTCATGGAAATTCATTGTTGGATCTTGAAGTCTTTTCTGAACACGGTCGATTTTTTTGAGTATGTCATGCCAGAAAGGAAGGAAAACTAAGAAGTTGAAACTAAGAATACTTCGTAGCAGAATTACAGCATCGCCTCTAGTTTCTTGTGTTTCAGTTGTATCTTCAGACATTTTTTCCAGTAGACTGACTATGTTATCAAGTCCATCATGAATTGCTTTAACACATTCTGCTCTAGCACTCCATCGTGTTTCTGATTCACGTTTGACTGTGATGGTCACTGCTTCTTTAAGTTTTTCCCATCGATGGGTTGATCTTGAAAAGAATAGATAAATTTTTTCAATGGTGCCAAAAAAGTAACTACAATTGGATCTTGACTTGCAGCATGCACCCCTGACAAGTTTAAGCTGTGATTGTCTCAATTCACAAACAATGCCTTGTTATTTTTTGTGCAAATTCTTTGCTGAACTCCAGATAAATGCCCCGACATAACAGCTGCATTGTCATAGCATTGAGATCTACAATTTTGTAACGGGATGTTGTCAGATTCCAATCTTTTTACGATAACATCTTCAATCGAGGCTGCATCTTTTCCATGAATTTCGATGTAGCCAAGAAATGACTCTTTTATTACAACCTCCCTCTTATCAAAATTTATGTCAACATACCTGATAACTTCAGACATTTGCTCCCTGTGTGCCAAGTCAGGAGTTGAATCAAACAAAATCCCGTCGTATTTATTTTTTCTGATGTTAATCAGCAATTGATTTCTCACATTCGAAGCAAGAATGCTGATGAACTCATTCTGAATTTCTGGAGATAAATATGTAACAGATCCTGGATTCTTTCTAGCATGGTCAAAGTGTGACTGCAAAATTGGGTCATGCTGAGCTAGAAGTTGAAGAACAGACAAAAAGTTTCCTACATTTTTGTCTCCTGTGGCATCAAGTTTCTCAATATGCCCACGCAATGCCAAGTTTTGAGTGGCCAAGAATTTTATACAATTTAGTATTCGCTTCAAAACATCTCGCCATCGTGCAACCTCTGACTGAATTTCAGCTTCAAGAGATGCATCGATTGTTTTCCCTTGAATCAATCTGCGCTCTGCATCTTTCCATGCATTAAATGATTTCCGGTGGAAAGGATTGTTCTCGTGAGCCGCTAATTTCTCTGGCTTCCTCCACTTGCTGAATCCATTAGATAATTCAAAAGATGATTTATTATTTGCACTCGATGAGGGAAATAACAAGCAGCAAAAACAATACACTGCTTCATTCAATGGTGAATAAACTAGCCAGACCCGATTCACCTCATCTCCCTTTCCATTGGCAAGTCTCCGCTTGAACCATGGCTTCGTCATAGAACGGCCGTCTTTCTTAGCAAATGGACCATTATTATTTTGAAATACATTAGAGCCTCGAGATACCATTTCTGTGCAGAGCTGTTGAGAAATTATAGGCAATTGTGACGTTTGGTCGAAATCCAAATAGCCAACATCCCCAAACATAAGCACAGCTGGAATTGGATTTGGTCTATGAGAAATGATATCATTTTCTTCTACTTCAGAGTTAGATGAAGTTGATAAACTGCTACTGTTCTCTATGTTTTGCTGATTCTGCTATACACTTGGTTGATCATTGAATTCATCAACATCAGTATCCTGAGGCTGTTGGCTTTCTTCTGGTGTTGACTTTGCCTTCTTCAAAAAACAATCCAGGAGTTTGCTGGACTTACTAGCTTCTCTTGTTTCATTTGCCTTTCTTTTTCTTCGCTGAGCTCCACCAGGCCTTTTTCCAAACATAACTGGGATTAAAAAAAACTTTTATATAGGATAGACAATATTAATAAATAGTTATTTATATAATTAACAATAATTAAATTTTCTAGTAAATTTTAATACAAGTTTCTTAATTTTATCCCTGAGCAGTTTACTGTGAATGCCCAGTGGCGTTTATATGGAGGGGATGGGCAGTGATGGGCAACTAACTAAATATTTTTAATTAAACTATAACTATTTTTCAACTAAAAATAAGTAGTTAAACTAATAGTTATAAACTTTTTTCAAAAAGTAGTTAACTAAACTAAAAAAAAGTAGTTAAACTTTTTCCAACTATTTTGCAACTATTTTAGATTTACTTTTTTACAGACATAATCTAAAGTGGCATTAATACTAACATAACAAACTATTCAAAACATGTCTTTTCAAAGTGAAGTATTAAGCTGCATCTCAAAAATGCGCTAAAAATAAAATCATTAACTAACATAACTTGTCATCATAAAATTTAGGCCAAATAAATTATTTAGTGTTTAAAACCAACTTAATTGAATATAGACAATTACATAAATGTATTTATTAAAATACAAAACAGCAACAAATTTTAAAGATTAAACAACTAACCAACCATCAGCGTCAACCTTCAACACAGAGAGGAAACAAGACATCAAACAGTCCGAAACATTGGTAAAAACCAAAAACATTGAATGTACTTTGCTTTAAAAATATGGAAAGCTTAACTTTTTACAAATTAAAATTATATTCAAAAACCATAAGTCAAGACATGGATAAAAGATATTTATCTAAAATATTTTAGTTAAACTATTTATTTAGCAACTAAAATATTTTAGTTAAACTATCGTTTTAACTAAACTATTTTTTTTTAGTTAAACTAGGAAGGAAACTAAAAAAAAGTAGTTAACTATTAGTTGCAACTAATTAAACTATGCCTATCACTGGTAATAGCAGGTATTTGTAGGAAGCTATACTGACTAACCCAATGCAGCTATACCACAAAGATACTATACTATAGACTATAGAGCATAATCTATACAAGCTTTTAACTGCACTGTGACTGACCTGTTTTAAAGGACAGACACAGAAATTGCTAGGTAAAGCAAAATAATAATAAAAAACCTTTTTGGTCACTGATATTTTGGTCACTGATATTGTGCCCCCCCCAGCCCTGCGCCCGGGGACAACTGTCCCCCTCTGCCCCCCCCCTCGTTACGCCACTGTATCTAAGTATAATAAATTCACATAATCGATTTTTTATCGCTTCGCCATGTAATATCAAAAGATCACGTAAAACCACAATCACAATTTCATTGTCATAAACTGTTTTCGATTTGGTGATTGTAAAAAAATGTGGAGTAAGAAAAATAAAATGCTATGAAGGGTGTAAAATAAAATTTTGAATATAATTTATAATGATGCCACGACGCCTCAACTCTTCCAGGTAAACGATCTAGGTGCTATATCTCAATTCCTAAAGATAATTTTATGAAAATTATTATTTAGTGTAGATATTAAAGTTTATTTATCAAATGCATTATTCTAGTACATACATTTTAAAATTTTTGCCAATGTAATTTCCATAACTTTAAAATGGTACTTTTTCTTTGTTAATGGTTCTTTGTCAGCGTTCATTAGCAACTGTTGCTAAAAAGATCCGACGAGCATTCACTAAGTGTCAATTTCGCGATGTAGCGATTTGTTAACGAAAATTTAAAATATTATTTTTTTATTAGTTCTTAAGATTTTATGTTATTGTTTTTTTTTTATTATTTGTTTTAAATTACTTAGCAAATTGCACGCAACAGACAAACAAATCAGCCTGCATGTGCACTGTTGCATCTGTAATTAATTAATTAATTATTAATGATTAATCGAAATGTAATGTAATTCTGTAGTGTATGTCATGTACTGACTGACTGCATGTAAAAACTAGGAAGCCTTAAAATTAAAATCCAATCTTTTTTAGCGTATTTTTATTTAATTCGTTTGGTTTGATTTGACCATCTTGTTTTTACGTTTTATACATTTTTTACTATTTTATTGTCAGACCTTGTTTTGTTTTAAATTAAATTTTATTTTAATTATCACAGTAAGTGTAAAAAGAATTAGTATTAATATGGCAGAATACATTACAATAATTATCTAAGTTAGTTTTGAAATCTTATTAAGACATAAACAATTTATTTATTCAGCTCTAAAAACTTTGTGCAAATTAAGTAATGAAAATAAAATTGTAACATAATTTTGTTGTCAATTATTGATTATTTTTTAGTCTTTTTTTCCAATATAAAATTTAAAAAAATTTGCATTACTTTTAATTTTAATTATAAAAAATTATATTTTAGTGTCGGAATAATTTAAAAAAAGACATTTCTTTAAAAGATTTTCACAAAAAATTTAAATTTATGTTCATCAGGATTTAATTTAAAAAATGGAAGAGGTGATATTTTAATTTTGTTGACATTTAATCATTTGCATCAAGTTTGAATTTTATGAATTTGTTGGTTTGCATTACAGAAGCCAACAGTTACTTTACAAAATGGCTATAGGTCAGTTTCACCAGTGCACATTCATCTTACTGACACAACACCTTTGCATGTGCATGTCAGCAAACCAACTCGACCATCCCACATCAATTATTTGGTTATCATTCTTTTTTTTAAAAAATAACTACTACCACTTGATTATCATTTTTAATGAAACTTTTCTGATCCAAAAGAGATTTTTAGGTAAATAACTATGTAATCTATTTGATTTATTTCTAAAGCCAAACAGAAGTCGCCTTAGAAATGATTCAAGACTTTTGGAGAAGATTTCACAGCAACGAGGCACATCTACTCTCAACAAGACATTAAATAGGCAGCTTTCCACTCAAGTAAGTTATTTTAGTACTATCAATCAATCAATCTTCGTTTAGCGTCCGGAGACCCAGTTTCCCGTGGTAGGACGTTGTTTTTCTTGCCATCAACTGTTTGCGTCAAATTAGACGATCAGTTGTATCCATTTCATTTAAATTTAGAGCTCTCATGTCTTGCTCGATTGTTTGCGACCAGGACTTCTTTGGACGGCCTTTGGGACGTGTGCCAGGTACTTCAACATCTGCAAGATAAGTTATGGCACTGTTTCCACTTCGTTTGACATGACCAAACCACCGCAGACGGTGTTGCCGACATTCGTCCTTTATATCATCTAAACCAGCACGACGCAGGATTTCGGTATATTTGATGTGGTCCTTCAGACTAATTCGTTGCAACCGTCGGAGCATTTTTATGTCGGTTCCTTAAAGTTGTTGTTCCAGTTTGGTTTTCTTTAGCCATCTGCACCGTATAACAAGACCTGACGTATTACAGATTTATAAAGTCTTGATCGTAGTGGTAGTGGGATGTCACGCAGCATCAATATAGAGGCAAGGAAATGCCATTTATTACAGGCTGCACGTATGCGTGCTCGAACGGCAGCTTCAGCTTTTCCAGTACAATCTAGAACATCCCCTAGATATTGAAACGATGTGACTCTCTCTACCTTAATGGCTTCAAAAACATTGCTATTTCGAATTTGTTGTTGAAGATTGATGCAAGCAGGACAAACAAAGTAGGACACTTTAGATAAAGTACCAATTATTTTTGAACAACGTCTGTGACACCATTGGTTACACTGCTGACACTTGATTGAATTACCTACACCAGCTTTACAAACTGAACAGGGCCATTGTCCAGTAGCTGTGGATTGGATGGGTTCACCAGTGTTCATTGCTTTGGTTTTGCTGATGTTGACTTTGAATCCATGATCGGCGAGTCTGGTGTTCCAATCTTCAAACATCTGTGCTGCATTCTGCTCAAACGTGGCTGTTAAAACGATATCATCAGCATATATTAGATTCCAAATGTCACCAGTGCGTATCGGCTTTGTGATTTCATCCATCACAGTTATAAATAACAGTGGACTGAGAATCGAGCCTTGGTGAACTGCAACGCCGATGTCAAATGCATCTGTGTTTCCAACCGTTGTGCTGGCGAGAGTCTTAGTATTTGTATACATTTATATCACAAGTCGAACAGGATATTCTGGAATGAGTTGTCAACGTAGACTCCACCTGATTGTTTCACGGGGAACTCGATCAAATGCTTTTTCAAGGTCTACAAAAATGTGTGATAGTTGTTGATGCTTTGAGGGGTACTTTTCTTGCAGTTACTAAAGGATGTGAATTGCATCAATTGTTGATTTTCCCGCTAGGAAACCAAATTGATAATTTCCGATTGTGATGCACGACGTTAATCTTCTCTCAAAGGTTTTCTCGACAATTTTCAGGAAATGTTCTAACAGACGTATACCCCGATATGATGAACAGTTCAATGTATAGCCTTTGTATAGCGGGACTGTCATGCTATAGTTCCATTCAGTCGGCATTGAGCAATTTCTACACACTTCACGGCAAAGTTTTAGTAACGTTTGGATACTTGCAGTACCAGATGCTTTGATAATGTCATTTGTGAGTCCAGAGGGCCCTGCTGCCTTTCCCTCCTTCATAGCTTTCAGAGCTTCTGTAAGCTCCTCTACAGTGATGTCTGGAATCGGAC